GGGGGGGGGGGGGGGGGGGGGGGTTGTTTGAGAGAGAGAGAGAGAGAGAGTAGTTTTATGCAATGAAAGCATTCATAGAGAAGTGATTTGAAACAAAAACAGACAGGAGGGAAGTAGATTTTCTAACCTGGGATGTTGAGTGTTCTTTACCACCTTCTGGCCATACTTCCTCCACTTATAACCATCATCCAAGACATCCACATCACTCATGGTCTTGAAGCAAAACCTTGGCTCTCTTACCTTTCTCCTTGCTTTCATTTTCTTCATCTTCATTGCTGAAACCCCCAGATGATCATCCCCACCACTTCTCTTGCTGTTCACGCAGTCATTTGCACCTCCCCATGCCCTGAAACACACAATTCACACATACCCATTCCATTATATGTGTGTGTGTGTGTGTGTGTGTGTGTGCAAATAGGAGTTTTTGCATGAAATTAATTGACAGGTGCTTGGAATGATGATTGTTCTCAATAAAGTGGGGTGTTGTACCAGAGATTTGCACTTGATCTTTGCAAGGAAAGAAGTTGAGGTCCAAAATGAGAAGGGATGTCTTCTTCTTTTTGCTTTGGATTTGCAGATTCACTGAAGGTAGGTGGAGCATCGGCTACAAGTGACGAAGGCATTGTTGTGAGGGTTTTCAGAGACTGATTGCACCCAAAAGGAAGAGAGGTCAAGTTTGAAGAGAAAGAGAAAAATCCCAGTTGTGATGACATCTCTTGATCCTCAAACAAGCCCTGGTTAAGCATAGCTTGGGAAGTGGAAGACATCTCTCTCTCTCTCTCTCTCTCTCTCTCTCTCTCTCTCTGAGAATTGTGTAGAAGATCAAAGATAATTAAGGTATATAGTCCCTTCTAAAATGGTGCTAGGGCTCTCTACAAGTCTCTCTGATAAGGATGATCTTAATATAAGTAGTCTTGGTTAAATAACAAGAAGGACTTCTCTAAAACCTCAAGCATGCAGATACTTATTTACTTCATGGAAGATCGATTTAAAGGAACGAAGTTCTTCCTATCTTGTATGACTAGCAACTTTCCCTTCTCTCTCTCTCTCTCTCTCTCTCTCTCACACTCACACACACACACAGACTGTTCGAAGTTTCATCTCACCAACTAATCAGCTGACAGTGGATTTAAAGTAAAAAAGAAAGCCAAAAACTACTACACACACACACAGCAGACTTACGGGCAGGCGCGCTCTGAGAATATAAAACACTTTCCAATAGAATGAAGGAAATATTAACCAACAGATAAACGGGAGTGTGAGGAAAAAGACAAGGGAAACGGAGGTATATGCAGTACTACTGCATACACTTTTTCTTTTAAATTAAGTCAATGGCTAAAGGTCACTTAGTGTACCACATGTTGCTATATGCCCTCAAAAGCATGGATAATCCATGTCTAACAAGGTCAACCAGTTCACAAAAAATGAATGCTAGGAGTGGTAGCTTGTTCATTGTTTGCTTGTTTGCCCAAAAATTATATCTCCTGCTCTTTTATTTTTTGAAATTATAGTTTTTTGAATTGTAAGTTATAATTTGTTATGATCGATTTTAAAATATTATAAATGATCATCAAATTTATAATTTTCAAATAGGGATGGTAGTGAACCGAAGCAAGGGCGGAGAATATAGTCTTCATTTTCGTACTCGCTTGAAAAAATTTGGTTCATCCCCAATCCACCCCATTAACGAATATAATTTTCATCCTCATCCCCGTTCAGGGGTAAATTTGTAATCCCCGCCTCTGCCCGTTCCCCGCCTTCACCCCCCGCCTAAGCTCAAGCCTAACATAATCCAACATTATAACTAATCCAAAAAATCAAAAAAATTACTGTCACTAACTGAAAATTACGACATAATTCTTCTTATCAATAAGGACTAGCATTTAATATACTGAGAGACAAAAAGTCTATCCAGCACATCTCAAGCAAAAAGTCTATCTAATAATTTTCAAAGAACAAAAATCATATTGAAATAGAATAAACTAAAAAATCAACAAAAATCATATCTAACACTATAATTAAAATTTAACAAAGACCATATTCAAATAGCATAAAATTAAAAAATTCAAAATATTGCATATCTAACATAGAAAATCAGATGTAGCACATGAAAATTGCAGAACAAAAAAAAAACAAAACAAGTAACATTTAAAAACTTTGTATCTAACACACCATAGATCCAAAACAAAAACTCTCAGTAGCTAACACAACCCTTAGATCTAACAAAACTCATTACAAATCTAATAAAAACGATCACAGATCTAACAAAAACCATAAAAAAGAATACAAAGATAATAGATCTTACCTTATTGGACCAAAATAAAATAAAATGGGACACTGAATTTTGAAATTAACTTTATAGATGGGTAGNCTTTGTATCTAACACACCATAGATCCAAAACAAAAACTCTCAGTAGCTAACACAACATTTAGATCTAACAAAACTCATTACAAATCTAACAAAAACGATCACAGATCTAACAAAAACCATAAAAAAGAATACAAAGATAATAGATCTTACCTTATTGGACCAAAAAAAAAAATGGGGCACTGAATTTTGAAATTAACTTTATAGATGGGTAGAAATGGAATTGAGGTTTATGATCTATATATATACTGGTTAGTGGGGGCGAGGTAGGGGCAAGTCTCAGTCTATCCCCGCCTCCATCTCATGTAGGTTTATACGAGTATTTTCGTGTACGTATACCGTCTAATATTATGGTCTATCCTCGGTTCAAATAGAACGAATTTGGACGAATACTTATTTTTTTCCGGTCTACTACCATCTTTATTTTCAAATGTTAAATTATAAATATTAAAAGTCAAATTATAACTTAGACAAGTTACAACCTTAATCACATATTCCTTCTAAACTTTTAATGCTCGCTCGCCCTTAGAACAAATTCTTCGAGAATTAGTGCTCTTATTTTTCAAAATTCTACAAATTCACGTTCTCATTTTCAAAATTTTAATTTAAAAATTTGACTAATTTACGCTCTTACTTACTTATTTATATGCTTACTTATTATTACACAAATTTTTATTTAAAAATTACTGACCCAGGCCTAAAGATATATATCAAACTAGAATAAAATTTGTAACTATAATTGTCATTTTAGAATTCATAATCAGCATATTTTTAAAAATTAAATAGTTTGTCTAGTTGTGCATAGAATTTTAATTTTTTATATTCTATATATATTAAACTTTAGGCGAATTTCACTTTGCACTCTAAAAGATTTTAAGTTTTTTACTTTGCACTCTCAAAATTAAATTTTTTAGATTACACCATTGATGTATTAAAAATGTTACAATGTGGGTCTTTTGCTCAATTTTCATTAATTTTTATGTCAGTGTTAGTGGGTTAGTTTTTATCAAAAAAAATAACAAAAATTAACAAAAGAGTTGCATTACAATATTTTTGATACATTAAGAGTGCAATATGAGAAATTTAATATTTAAAATTATAAAGTGAAAAACTTGAAATTTTTTAGGGTCTGAAGTGTAAAAAGCCCTTAAATTTTTTTGATTGTTGATGTTTTTAGGCTTCCCCCTCCGCTCCAGTTCTATGTGATCTAGGTTACAGCTACTCAAAAACATCCCACGATTGGTCTTGAAATNGTTCTATGTGATCTAGGTTACAGCTACTCAAAGACATCCCACGATTGGTCTTGAACTTCCCTCAACTAACTATAATTTCTCCTTTCAAATATATAATATTATCATGAAAAATAGAAATTTTCGATAGAGTACTAAAAAAGTATTTTTCATTACTATAGACTTTTTTGATTCAAATGTCAAACTAAAAAATAATAATAAATTACTAAATGATATGACATTTATAATAAATATAAATATTAAATAAATGAAAGTGAGACCAATAGGACCACAAAATTATCGGCCTCACCCTTCTGTCATTATTTTTTATTTTGTTTTAAGCCATTTAACATTATTCATTTTTAATGACCGAAAAGAATTTGAAGCTTTGTTTTCTTAAGAGTGTGATTATGATATGACTTTGTGGGTGAAAGANATATTAAACTTTAGGCGAATTTCACTTTGCACTCTAAAAGATTTTAAGTTTTTTATTTGGCACTCTCAAAATTAAATTTTTTAGATTACACCATTGATGTATTAAAAATGTTACAATGTGGGTCTTTTGCTCACTTTTCATTAATTTTTATGTCAGTGTTAGTGGGTTAGTTTTTATCAAAAAAAATAACAAAAATAAAAAAAAGAGTTGCATTACAATATTTTTGATACATTAAGAGTACAATATGAGAAATTTAATATTTGAAATTATAAAATGAAAAACTTGAAATTTTTTAGGGTCTGAAGTGTAAAAAGCCCTTAAATATTTTTGATTGTTGATGTTTTTAGGCTTCCCCCTCCGCTCCAGTTCTATGTGATCTAGGTTACAGCTACTCAAAGACATCCCACGATTGGTCTTGAACTTCCCTCAACTAACTATAATTTCTCCTTTCAAATATATAATATTATCATGAAAAATAGAAATTTTCGATAGAGTACTAAAAAAGTATTTTTCATTACTATAGACTTTTTTGATTCAAATGTCAAACTAAAAAATAATAATAAATTACTAAATGATATGACATTTATAATAAATATAAATATTAAATAAATGAAAGTGAGACCAATAGGACCACAAAATTATCGGCCTCACCCTTCTGTCATTATTTTTTATTTTGTTTTAAGCCATTTAGCATTATTCATTTTAATGACCGAAAAGAGTTTGAAGCTTTGTTTTCTTAAGAGTGTGATTATGATATGACTTTGTGGGTGAAAGAACAATTGCTTGCATCTATACATATCANTTTGAAGCTTTGTTTTCTTAAGAGTGTGATTATGATATGACTTTGTGGGTGAAAGAACAATTGCTTGCATCTATACATATCAATTAATTCAACTTTTCTTAATAGTTTCAAACTTAGACTTGGACAACATAAACCCTAATCACTTCTTTTATGGGCTCCATTAAAAAAATTAGCATTCATTGTCATTTTAACAAGCACCACAGATGAGTACACAATCATGGAATAGGAATTTGAAATAAATGAAGAAATGAAGATTTTCATAATGCCATGGATCTTTAAAAAGAGAAAGAGAGGTACATATATACCTATATTTTTCTAGGTTTTCTTTTGGACACCTAAAACAAATATCAAGAGCAATGATGATGAATCTTGGGTGCTCTGCATCGGCGGTGAGAATATCATTATGATTGATGAAAGTGAGCCCATTTGACTTTTGGCAGAAAAGCTTCTCACCTTTCCACTTCTCCTGTTGCTAAATAATTGGATTTTTATACTCCCTCCTAACCCCACATCTACCCACCATTTCTCAAGTTCCAAACTTCCCTATGATGTCCTTATGATCTCTTCAATTACACACATTAATCTATATCAACTTTGTTTAGCAAAATTTTTTGTGGGCCATCGGGTTGTCATGATATTGATTGCATGACGTTAGCCATTGATGAAATAATTTTTTTTTCATTTAGTAATCATGGTATTGCTGCCCCTTTTTCCACAAATTAGATGTAAATGAAATAATCAAGTTCATGTGATTGGTTTACCATTGCGACTAAAGTAGAAAGGAGATTACTGTTGCACAAAAAAAATTCACTTTTTAATCTCACATGTGGCACATAATCAGGCGGCCCAACAAATATAGGGGCTTTGGCAAAAAATATTCGGTGAAGTCTGAGTTTTATTCAATAAAATAATATAGAGTTGTTAGTTTATTAGGTAAAAATTTAGATTT